GCGGTTCAGGGAGAAATGGAGGGAAAAGATAAAAATGGTTGAAAGAAGAATTTTAATATCCTTCTCCTACTGATTCAAGTGTTGTGCTGATTTACGTGAATTTGATCTACATCCTCTCTTGAAAGGATTTTATGCTTTGCAAAAGAAATCATAATCAGATTTTTTGAATATTAACTTCCCAATGTACATCTAAAATATTATGCTCGTTACAAAAGAATTTTATTTCATCACTATTTAGAAGAATAGTCCTTGTATAAATAAATCACACCTGGAATAACAAACCACTGTGAACAGAGAGTAGACTTAAGCTTTCTTGATCAGCCCTCATCTCTGGTGGTCTTTGCTTTTCCTCTTTCTCTATGGCACAGAATTTTACATTTAGTTATATGATGCCTCAGATTCCCTATTATTCTGGTTAAAGCTTTATCTTTGTCTAAATATATTCTAAACTCGAGGGTATTATCTATTTATGTTCCCAGAAGTCTGAGCACAGTGCTAATTACAAATTAGGTACTTAATAAATGATTCTGAAACAAGTCAATAAATGAACAGACTTTAAATCGCCATTGTTTATGTAATGATTCTGAGGAACTATGTATATGTTACAGCATAAAGTCAGAAAATTTTCAAAAGACAGTTTTTTTGTTGTCTGTTTTTTGCTTTTTTGTTTTTTTTAATCTGAAGAAGTGGTTCTCAAATATTTTGGTCTGAGGATCCCTTTACACTTAAAAATTATTGAGTACCCCAATAAGCTTTTTGTCAATGTGGGTTATCTCCAGTGATACCATATTAGAAATTAAAACCTAGACATTTTAAAATACAAGAACATAAGCACATATTCTACTAGCTGTCAAAGCAGTGATGTCAACACATGTCATGTAGCCTCTGGAAAACTCTACCATACACTTATGAGAGAATGAGAGTAAAAAAGGCAAATAATGTCATAATATTATTATGAAAATATTTTAGACCTCACAGATTCCTGAAAAGGTTTTGGAGAATTGATAATCTGAAGTATTCCACTGGATTACTGTGACAAGAAAAAAATTCTGAGATGTCCTAAATTATAGCAGGCCAGAGGGTAGAAGGAATTGATAAGAGAGGTTAATCAGTTAACTGCCAGGCAAAACCAACAAAATATTGCGTACGTTCCTGAATGTATGTTGAAACTTTGAATTAACTTCCAGATGGCTATTTCCTCGATTACAGAGAAAATAGCCGAGTAGCTGATCACCAGGTGCCACCACATCTTGCTTACACATGAACTTTCCAGACTGTTGCCCACAACCAATCCTAAAGAGCAAACACTTCTTCCTTTACCACATGCATCTATCTGAGAACTAGCCCAGCTTCACCTTCTCCTTCCCCCTTTACCTATAGCCAATGTAAATTCTTTCAGAACAACTTACATCTTCTCCAGAGTTCATGTATTTAAATTAAGAGCCCTGTCAGATCCTGGACAGTGGCTGTGTTGTCTTCTCCAACTAGCTCTGCTGCTTGTGCCTTAGACTGCATGCCCAGGACCTGATCCTTTTTCTGGCTAGCATGTCGCTCAATAACCTTCTCTTTCAGAAAAACTTTCGGCTTTTTTGTTCAAAGACTGAATCAGGCAATAGTAAGGGTAGTCTTTAATCTTAAGGTTAAAACCGTGTTTGTTGCTTTTATGTTTAATCATGAGTATTATGAGTGTTGTAAATGGTTTTAATTAAATAGCAAGTACAAAATTAATTTTTAATTAATATTAAAGAATAGTTAACATTTTGGGTTGAAATTATCTTCATTAAAAAAATATTTGGAAACTGTTTTGTATACGTTTAAAATTGATTGGGTTCTTTTATGTTGCAGTTCCTCAGTTTGAAACTACATGTAGTTACATAGACGCTACAGTTGAAGAGTTTCTTACCTGGAACTGTGACCACTCTAGTATTTCTGGACCATTTAGAGATTATGATCATTCCAAATTCTGGGCTTATGCTGACTATAAATATTTTGTCAGTCTATTTGAAGATAAGACAGATATTTTCCAGGTAAGTCAATACATTTCTTTTAACCATGGTAATTTTGTGTTTTTGATAAAAGATCACAAATTAGAATTTCCCTGGTTCCTTTTCTCTTCACTGTCTTTTACTCCCAAGAGTCACTGTGAGTGTTGAGGATTCTGTACAAAAGATTTGCTCAAGAGAAGCGTAATGTATGGTTCACACAGATAAGCAGCCTTCTCATTGTTTTTCGACTCACCAATTTTCCTATATACCCTCTCCTGTGCCTTTAAACAGTGCCTGAGCTGGTTTGGAGTATATTAGAAGCATAGATTATATATAAAACTTTATTCTCTCCTGACCTTACATATAAGTTTTTGTTCTGTCAGGAAGGCAGCTGGAAGTACAAAGCTGATTATGTGAAAAAGTGTTCCTAGAATTCTCGCAGCATTCCAGGCTGCTGCTTCCATCTTTCCTTGCTCTGGGGGTTTAGTATAAGCCCTGCAGAAGTGTGGGAGTACTTGCAGAAGTAAGAATGTGGAAGTTCTTTGCCATGTGTTGACATAACTGACACCAGAGTTTGCAGACTACCATATCCTGTTTTTCTTTTAAGTGTCTTCTACCTCAAACTGCCAGTTTAGTTTGTGGGGTGATTTTGCTAAGTCCCTGCTCTGCTTTCCTTTGTGTGTCTGAGGCCTGGGGCAAAAAATAGGAGTCCCGGGAAGTTGTTTGGATGACTCTGCCTTGCCTACAATCAGGTCAAGGCTCCACAGTCCTTTTTCCTGCCGCCTGCCCATCCTTTGTGGAGAGAACTGTTTCACTATCCCTACAGGCTTTTCACCCCTACTCCACTCCTCCTCCCAGCCACCACTACCTGCTCTCTGGACTTCTGTATCACATAGGCTGAAAGTCTTTGGACTCCTGAGTAATTTTTCATTCAGCCTATATTTTTCTTTTTCACTTCGAGTCAAGACGTAGATGCTGCGGTTTACATAGTTCCTATAATACAACTGTCTATACTTTGAAGCTTTCCTTTATTAAAATTTTAAAATGTTTACCTAGATTTTGCTTTTTATTTAAAAATGGGAAATATATCACTTGCTCATAATTGTTAGTTGAGGATATATTTTTATTCTCATAATCATGAAAGAAATGCATCAGTTTTGAAAACATTCAGTAGAATGTTTTCTGAATCCGAAGTTTATACTAAATCTACTCATTTTTAAATGATAATTTTGAGGACATTTTTTTTCTTACAACATTAGTTGTGATCACTTTATGGATCTATAACCAGGGAACTTTTAGATATAATAGTTAGCTTTCAGAGTATTTTATATTTCTCATACTCTCACCTACCCTGTAGATTAGATTAGTACTCTTTAATTCCACATTTCTGGTAAAACATTGTGCCATAGTAATATAATAATAGTAATCAAATACTTTCTCATGCTTGGTGCTTTTCTAAGTGCTTTACATTTATAATCCTCACAGTTTACCCTCTAAGTTTTAACTGCTGCACTGTATGTCTACACAGGGTCTGAATACATTAAGTTCTGTGGGGACTCTACAGCTAGGATTAAAGAATTCCATTTATGCTGAGGCTAGGCTCCCTGTGCCTTGGATGAATCTCTAAGCTGACCTCATCAGTTGTTTGTCTTGGCCCAGGCATGACAGCTCTGGGCAGGCATGTGTCCAGTCCATTAAGTATGGATATAAAGGCAGTCTTTTGGTAGTGTGCTGGAATTCTAATTGAGCCTTTATAAAATCTGATCTTTTTAGTTAAATGAGTTTTCCATCAGCTCACATTATGGTGATTAATTCTTTAGATTAGAAGAGGAAAATCCGCTATGAACAATCAAGTCCATTAAGATGATATAATTTTTTATCAGCATCAAGCCTTCTTACATCATGGGTACCAAAGTTGTTGTCATTTTAATTTTACCTCTATAGTTTATTCAGTCACCAAGTCTTATTTCAAGTTTTCTTCCATCTGTCATAAAATGGTGGGTAGTTAGCTATTAAAATAATAAATTTTAAAAATATTAATTCATTTTAAATAAAGTCATGTGATTATAACTAACATTTTTATGAAAATAACTATTCGAAATTTTAAAAAATGTTATTAAAGGAGTGGTATTGCTTTACATTTTGTCTTTTTAATGTCTGGCTTAATAGAAGACAACTGGATTCTTTCGGCTCTTCATTCAATTTGTTGCAATGTTTTTTTTAATTTATTTTTTATTTTTTATTTTTTTAATTTTTTTAACAGTAAAGTATGTATATATTTATACTGTGTGTTCACCTCCCGTAGTTAGATTTCCTTCTGTCACCATGTATTTGACCCCCTTTACCCTGTCTACCTCCCCCTGCTGCATTTTCTTGGTTTGTTTGAAGTATATGAAAACTATGTTGCCTCACACATATGCATCTGAAAAAGAGTATTTTAGTAGCCTTTTTAGATAGTTGTAGGTTTTTTTTAATACTCCACTAAACTTGACAAGGGATAGTTTCTTAACAGGTTCGTTTGTTGCAGTACAGAGTATAAACCCAAAATTGATGCACTCTTTGTACTCTTAAAATCCATTGGTCTATCTTGCATAGAATGGAGCTTTTGCAAAATACTGGTTTACTGAGTTATATAGATCTTCCAAATGTCCATTTGGAAAATATTGTCGATTTGAAAAATACTGCTTTACTGACTTATATAGATCTTTCAAATGTTGGCACATGTCCATATACTTCATTATTTAAAAAGTGACATTTATTAATATCGTCATCATTCTCATCAGAAAAGTCTTTTAAATATTAGGAAGCTTTCAAGCTCATGTGTTTCAAGATACAAGTTTCCAAAATCATTTTCATTCTGTTCAAAATATTTTCTAATTTCTCTTATGATTTATTCTTTGACTTATGGATTATTTAGATGTGTAATGCTTATTTTCCAAATAGTTGGAGATTTTCAATCTTTCCATTACTGGTTTCTAATTTAGTTTCATTGTAGTCAGAGAACATACTTTGGATGATTTTACTTCTTTTAAATGTATTGCTTTATGGCCCATAATATAGTCAGTCTTGATAAATGTTCCAGGTATACTTGAAAATAATGTGTATTCTGCCGTTGTTCTGTTTTATAAATGTCAATTAAGTTGACTGTTCAAGTTGCCTGTATCCTTACTGATTTTCTGTACACTTGTTCTACCCATTATATACAGAGAGGTATTGAAATTGCCCAACCGTAATTATATATATATATTTTCAGTTTAGGTTGATCAGTTTTTGTTTCATGTGTTTTAAAACTGTTATTAAGTTTATTATGTCCTTTTAATGGATTGATGTTTCATCATGATGAAATGACCTCTTTTTTCTGGGTTCTTGTTCTGATGTCTACTTTATGTGAAGTCAATTTTGTTTGGTTTGCCATTGGATTAGTGTTAGCATGAAAAAAGAGTACTTACTATATGATTCCATTTATATAAAATTGTAGAACTTGCAAACAGATTTATAAAGACAGGACATAGATCAATAGTTGTCTGAGAATCAGGGAGTAGGGAGAGATGGCTTACAAAATGTCATGGGAGATCTTTTGGATGTAATCAAAATGTTTGTCATTTTGATTGCAGTGATGGTTTCTCATATATATATGTATATGTATATATATGTAAAAATTCACCAAGTCGTACACTTAAAATATATGCCGTTTATTGGATATCAATTATACCTCAATAAAGCTGTTTTAAAAAAATACAGTACTACCAGTAAGTACACTTTGGTTCCACTGTCTTGACCTACAATATTATTCACCATTGTTTTTGTGCCCTCAGTGCAGATGTCAACACAGTGAATTAGGCAAATAACATCTTAGTAGTATTATGAAAATAATTTTAACCTCACAGATCCCCTGAAAGTGTCTCAGGGACCCCAAAGGGGTCTATGGGCCACTTTGAGAACCTCTGGTTTGCAATATTACTTCTGAAATTACTCTTTATTCTTCCAGTTCTGACTCTTCCTCTAATTAATTCTAAAATAGTTTTTTATAAAATTACATTTCAAGTCATGCTCCAAATTAAATGTTGAAATATGTTAATCATGTTCACAAACATTTCATGACTTAAAATTATACAAGGATAGCACTTAAGAATCTCCCCAACATGACTGATGCGACCTTTCTCCTCTGCATTAGTGCCTGTCTAGTTTCCTCACTGAGGGCTGGACCACTGTGTTCTCTCTCATCTTCTGGCCTTTGCTCATGCTCTTCTCAATTTCTGCCTATTAAAATTCTACTTCTTAGGACCCAGCTCAGATTCAGCCTTGGCTATGAAACCTTGTCAGCCACTTATATGTACATCCATCCATCCCTTGCTTTCATTCCTCTATGTTTTATTTTGATGGTTACTTAAATGGTGAATGACAGAATTCTTCTAACAATATTGTAAACTCTTTAGGAATGGACTCTGTATTTTACAATTTATTATTCCCCCAAACTGCTAACATAGTGCTAAATACAGTAGTTCTCCCATATCCATGGGGGATATGTTCCAAGACCTCGAGTGGATGCCTGAAACCATAGATGGTATTGAATCCTATATATATTGTGTTTTTTTTCCTAATTATAGATACCTGTGATAAAGTTTAATTTATAAATTAGGCACAATAAAACATTAATAAAAAGAACAATTGTAACAATATAACTATAATAGAAGTTATGTGCATGGCTTTGGGTTTATTATTAAATAAGAGTAACTAGAGCATCAGCATTGCAATACTGTTAAAATTTGATAACCCAGATGTCTACTTAAAATGTCTTAAGAGTGGATAGAGTATACAGCCTGGATACTCTAGGCAAAGGCATGCTTCATATCCTGGGTGAGATGGAGCCCACTGTGTGAGACTTCATCATGCTACTCACAAGGGCATGCAATTTAAAACTTATGAATTGTTTATTTTTGGAAGTTTCCATTTAATATATTTGGATGGTGGAAAGCAAAGCTGTGGATAAGGGAGAAACAACTGTACATGATAGGTATTTGAATGATTACATAAGTACATTT